CATGACGCATTACTTTGTGGCAGCCTGATGTGGATAATGGCCTATTTTCTCTTCAAAATTAAGGATAACTGAAGATATTCATGTTTCTTGTAAAAACACTTTTTATGCTTCAGTTCATAAATGGATAATAAAGCTTTTATATATAAAACAAGCCTTATTATATAAAGTTAAGACAAAATATTCAACATTGTTACTTTGTAACTTGGGTTTCGAGACGCCTCTTAATAAAGTTGTCAATTAGTGAGCATTTATAGCTAAATATTTAGTTTAAGCACACACCTTCAAAAACTATAATTGAAATCGAAATCTATTATACTACATATCCAAATATAATCACAATAATCTTGTTATACGAGGCTAGCATACAAAAGGGCACTAATCAAATCGAATCATCAAGGTATTAAGAGGGAATGTTTAATTAATTCGATATCATGCTAAAAAATACCTTCTCATCTTTCTTTTCATTTCAGCAATAGATAATAAATCTGTCTTAAATTCCAGCCGGGCTCATATGAAGAGAGAAAACTATTACGACCGGTTACAGGAAAGTGATTTTGTACCAGTTCTTTAATCGATGATACTTTATAAAATAAATGAATTTTCAATAAGTGTAAGCAAGGGAAACCTACTAGAAGCGACAGTCAACTCTTATAATAGCAAGTCAAAAGAAAATTGATATAACATGCAAATGCCCAGGCCAATTTAAGGATCGAAATGTCAGATGCCAAAGTATATAAAACTACTTGTTACGCTTCATTGTTGGGCCTACTCAATTTTGCATAAAACTATATTGTTATTTGACTTGTATACTGACCCTATATAGGACAAATAGAAATTCGGCCGCAATTAAATGAAAGGTATGCTTTCACTTCGTATTAAAAACAAATTGTTCTTTAATAAAGGTCACTTGGGTTCATACTAAATAGAAGTTTAAGCCTCGTGTAGTCATTTAGGATGGCTGCATATTACGTCTTGCTTCAGTTAGCGGACCGGTGCACACTTCGATATATGAATTGCAACATGGAGGAAGTAAAGCAAAGCAGGCAGCCAAGTGCATTGATATATTACAATTAAGCAGTGAATGGAAATGATCGAAGATATCAAATACGGTACCTGTATTCACTAGTTCTTGGAGATCACAACCAATTCTTGAATAACAAATACACTGAGGCCACGCGTGATAAAGAACGGGCAATAAAGCCATGACAAGCGCTAAAAAGCGACTCAGAATGCTTTTAAAATTTATTTAGCCTTACTTCCATAGTTATTTTAACCATAGGTAGAATTCACTTTAATTAGCAATCCTGATGGGAACCGAACATGGGTAATTGAAGGTATGAATGATCGCAGTATCCTTTTTTTGTATATAAATAGTGGGACATTGTTTTCGCAACTTGGTAACATTAGTAGGAAGGCCTAGTTTCGGAGTCCATAGTATGCATGATAATTTTCAGTTGGGCCGTAGTAAATTCCCAGACGCTTCGCCGGCATCGCCAGTAAGCATGACGAATCTTAGCACCACAATAGATCTCATCAAAGATAAATAAAGCCGATCCTTTAATCAATTATTTGCTTAACAATCGTGGTCTATCCTTCCCACCTGGGCTAATCACCATTCTGATATCCTCGTATCACC